TTTTTTTTTTTTTTTTTTTTTTTTTTTTTAATTAATACTAGTGTCGAGGAAAGCGTCTGACACGACGTGTGTAAAAATGTAATGATATAATTAGCAGGATGGTGAAAAAGATCAATCTTTTGTAATTTTTCATGGAAATTTTATAGGCGGTGCGTTTTTAAAATTCCAAGTTCAAAATGAAATTGAAAATCTATTCTCTAATACGTTGTACGATAAATGTAATAATTTTTCAATTTAATTTCAAGATTAAGATTTCATTCTAGAAAATTGAATCGTTCATGTTCACGCCAAATTCTTTCGCTGTTCTAGGCTTCCAAAAACTGCAACAAATTTTTCTATTACATGTACTATACATTCGAACAGCTCGTGTTCTTTGTTGCATTCTAAATCTTTTTCTACTCCTTACTTTAACTTCCCTATCGTGTCAATATTTACATCAGTCCGCAGTAATTAATTAATTGAATAGTTGAAAATTATTCGAATGTTTTCATCGATTAATTCTACATTCTTGCCTTTTACGTTTCTCATCCTTGAAAAAAAAAAAAAAAAAAAAAAAAAAGAAAGATACAATAAGCTACACTTTTTTCAAATCCATTGCAAGACTCGAGATCTATCTATCTTTCAAACGAGAAGATATGCGGATATAACTCAGTCTAACATTAAACCACCTCTTAGAAATAATTCGTGTCACGTGAAATAACCTTTCGCTATTAAAGTTATCAGTGGATGGGACAATTTAGTAATAATTATAGCTGAATTGCTCCATCGGCCGAAGGTTTTGATAAGGAAAAAAAAAAAAAAAATGTATGACACAAAACCACTTACGCCTTGCATCTGACACCACTTACACTCGACTTACAATTGACTTTCAAACATTCCATAATATTCGAGCTGGTTTACGAAACTATGCAAGCCAACATGACCGGCAGCAACGAGATTTCTCGACGTTCTCGAAGCAAATTGCGAGGGGTAACGACCTCAAAATGAAATTCTCCATCGGTCCATGGATTAAATCGGACAATGAGCTCGGCGGCGCGCGGGCTAAACTTCACTTAATAAAAGAACTACTATTCTTACTTACGCTCGAGAGAAGCGGCTAGAGCTTACTGGCTACAGTATCCAGCTGTTTGAATTTTTTACATGTTTTTACACTCGAGCATGCAATTACACTTTCAGCAAACCTTGGTGGCACGAAATTTTGGTCCGCATTAGCTGTCGCGTGAATTTCTCGACACGTTTACAAGCCGTTCGCGGATGAACATTTTGTAGCTATAACACGCCGAATCGCTTGTACGAAAGCTCGAACCATTAATATAGTATGATACAGCATTTAAGCATCTTCTTAAATAATTCA